ATTTGATTTTACAATGAACAAGTTATCATTAAATACAAATGTTGATTTATCAATAGTCACTAGCATGAAATATACAAGTATAACAAAATTAAAATTTTACAGTTCCCGTATATCTTTATCCGTACGCAAGTTACATACAAGTAAAACGGTATACAGTAGCAAATATTTGTATTTAATCGTATTTAACTTAAATTTTGTAACTTACTGTAAAAGCTGTGAATACAGCACGAATAAACGTGCACAACGAATGATAATCTTCTGCACGTAGTGTCAGTATTTGATATGATATGAAAAAGATATGAATTAACGCGTGAAATGTATTTCATATTTAACCAATACAGTTTACAAATTACAATGAGAACGTAAATATAAATGTACATTATACATACATGTAAGTAAAGCGGACACATTTATTTTGACAAGTTATGACACATTTATTTTCCGTAAATGGAAATTTGTCTCTTTCTCATCCTTTTTGCAAAATTCGAGGCATAAATTAGGAACATAAATTTTCGACTGATTTTGCCGCATTTGCATGCACGCGTATTCGTAATACGCGAAATGAAATTAATCACCAGTTGTAACGCTTGTTTCTTTGCTGCAGTGAAAAATTACATCCTCACAATAGCACAGGACATTCTAACAACGCATAGAAATGTTGAGTTTTTCTTGTGCAGAAAATTTCATCCGATCACCTTTCAGTTAATGGCAATTTGTCAAAAGGTCATCTTCTATATATATAAGGGCGATAGAGTTTATCATTACATCGATGTAAATCGTCAATGTTACACCGATGCAATTTAGACCCTCTGCGCTCCGGTAATCGTGATTGACCTGCTTCAACGTGATGAAAGAAATGAGAAAGCAGACACGTATACCAAGAAGAGAATGACAGCTTTATTAAACAACAGTCTTTTACATTTCATGGTTATAAATAAAGCCCAGCATGCGATCACGTTTTTGTACAAACGTGGGAAAGACTCCCTCTACGCGATCGAATGCGAAAGCAAGGAATGTGTCTTTTTTTTCTTTTATCGCTTTATTTTCTACTTTATTCTCCCCTCCTCACTTCGGTTGTTTAGATATCTAAAGTAGAATTCGGTTTATCGTCTGTAATCGTTAAATATTCAAACGAAAATATCGACGGAGATGAAAAGTGATGCGCGAAGGATACCACGAAAAATAAAGTTTCAACTTCTTACATTCATTCGCCGTTATTATATCATATTAATTATCAATATTATGGCACGGTAAAAAAAAGAGATATAATTTTCTTTAGAGTTTTTTTTTTTGAATATAGAATTTTTCTGCTGAAAAATATAGTCATTTGCGTATCACTGAAATGTATATTATAATATATGTAAATGTATTATAATACACGTGATTGAAAGAAACTAAAATAGTAATATAAAGTATAATTTTAGTAAAAGAAATTCGGCAAACTCTACAGAACAAGAAAAAATTCAGCATATTCAAAATAGCTTAAATCAGATACATGTAACAGCAATAAGGTAAACAGCAAATTATCTTGAACACCGTCTGATAAGAAACATTAAAATTGCAAATAAAGCATTGAGAAATACAATAATACTAAAATCCTTTCTGTAAAATTCAATACACAGCACACATTAAATTTTGTCAAAGGAAACACAGATAACAAAACCGACATATTATATTAAAATAGCACTTAATTTAGCATTTTTGAGAAAACATTACGTTAAATTTTATCAAAATATTAATAAGAAAACTCAACAAGTTTTTTTTAACAACTTCATATTTCTCTCTTTTGCCATAGAAATTGTGCCACAGATATGTCTAGTACAAAATATAAATCTATCTATATAGCGAGCTTGATAAATGTATTAAATAATTCTATAATAAACTCAACTGTATCACTTTTATAGAACTTAGAAGCTCGCTAGTAGTATATTTAGATAGTATATTTCACACTTTATCATGAATTTATCATATGACAGTTATATAATGTGATAAGCTAATTTAATTAACTTAAAAATAGAGTCACAAGATATAATGGAGTAATTCGGAGTGAATTAAAGACGAAGAGCTATCGTATTTGTCGTGTCATAAATAGGTACCGTTGTATACCAGCTTTTAACGATAATCAGACATTTTCCGTAGCTATTGTGAAGTTCAAATAGGGGGAAATCATTTGGTCTTCATGGCCATGTACTCACACGCTATCGGATGCGATGGCGCAATTGTGTTCATATATGTATGTGTGCATGTGTGAACTGCGTGTAACTGCGCGTGATTGTTAATCATAAAGTTAAACCATGTACCTTCTAGAATCGATCTTTCTAATGTCTTTGATGTATAGTGAAATTGTTCCTTTTTAAACATAATTGCAAAGAGAATTTTTCGTAACAAATCTAAAGTAATATTGCATTTCATTAACGTTTCTTACTGCGAATGAAAGTTTCTACAACATCCTTTCACTCGAAATTTTTTTATGCCAATATATTATTGTATTATAATGTTATAAATACAAATATAATGTTTCTGATAAAATTTATCATTGATAACGAATGTGAAATTAAATTAATAATTATATTTTTTTATATATCTGATTAAAAGACAGATCAAAAGATTTAAATAACTTAAATAATTAAACAAAGTTAAAATATTAAATAATACACAATATAATTGTGTTTGAAAGAAATGAATCATGTAATTGCAAAACGCTTGCGTGACTATCAGTACAAGCGTGCTTCGTAAGTTTTATCTGTTGAATAATAATGAATTAAATCCCTATTGTTTTGTTTTAATCTTGACTTATTATCTCGTAGATAATTTCTAAGTTTACAATTACGATATAATCAGTTACTAAATGCACAAAAAATATATTTATTTATATTTCTAGTTCTTATAAAAAATTGATTTTCTATGTCTAATTCATAGAAATATAAAACGTTTTCAAATTGTGTGTAATTAAATATGGAATATTTAATTTAATTTATTTTAATAATACGAGTCTGATTTAATGAACAAAAACGAAGTTTAATATAGATACAATAAAATTTTAATTATTAGTAAATTATATTTAGTTCTTATTGTTCTGATTTCTAATTCATTTTTTAATTTTTTATATTTAATGTCAATCATTGGCAGCTAATCCATTTAACATTTGATTAAACATATTGTTTGACTTGAATTATGAAGACGTAGATCGACGAGAGTGAGAGAAAATAAAAACTGTTATAATACTATGTACAAAAGAGAACAATGTGTATATACATATACACACACACACACACACACACACACACACACACACACACACACACAACAAA